CCCCCCCCCCTTAGACTCACTCCTCTTCTCAGGACAGGCTACCACCACCCAGTGCTCTTAGGATGGGACAGCACCACCTCGGCTGTCAGGAAGCTAAGGGACGAGGACCTCCATGCTGAGACTGCACGCTGGGCAGTCTCCCAGGTCGCCCTGGGGGTTTCGGGGAGGGGGCCAACCACACAGCAGACCAGTACAAGCCCAGACCACACCTTCTTGCATTCTCAGTGTAACAGGAAAGGCTGTCTGGAAAATCTAAAGTACGGCAGAGGGACAGGGTTTTCTGGATGTCCCTAAGGACAGAGTCCCAGAGGACGCACCTTCGGTCAGTGTAAGACAGAATGCTGTCTTCATTCAAACCCAAGCCAAAGCCAAACCTATTGCCCGTGAGCAGAACTGCCTCCTGGGGGAGGGGAGTGTTTTCAAGGGTGCTATTCTTATAGAGGCAGAGTACCCCAGTCTCCTCCCGCAGAGCCCCGGGTGGGTTTGAACCGCTGGCCTTTGGGTCAATAGCGGTGCGCTTCACCCCTGCTACCTGGGCTCCTTTAGTCAAAACTAAATGAAAAGAAACGGGGGGTGGGGGGGGCCGGCCCGGGAAAAAAGGCCTTCCTTAACAACGAACCTTTCAAAGGGAACCCGGGCAAACACCTTTCAGGGACCACACAGAAAGCGCTAAGCTCCAGGGAAGAGTTCCTTCGGCCAGGGGACTTCCCAGGTGAGTCTAACCCTGAACGCCTACTCTTTTAGTGCAGGAAGGGCCGCTTTCCCAAGTGCAGACACGCTGCGTCCATCCGTGTCCCGCCTGTGTCCGCTCCCCGGCTTTCTGCACTGGAGAGTGCTGTATGCAGCACGCAGCCAGAGGACAGGTAGGCGGCCAGCCACTCTGTCAAAGGTGGTTACGGAGAGCCAGCTGCGGGGAGCAGGAGGGCGAGGGGCTGAAGTGGCAAATGCAGCGTTGGTGTCTGGGCACGTCACCTAGGAATCAGCATAGCCTTAAGTCAGGCTGCTAGCTGAACCCACCGGTGGTGACATGGGAGAGAGGCCTGGCCGTCTGCTCCTGTGAAGACTGCCGCCCGGGAGCCAGTTCTGTGCTGCCACGTGGGGTGGCCACTGTGAGCTGAACACTCGGTGCCAAGGACACGTGTGACGATTACATCATTTCACGTCAGCTTGATAAAGAGGCGGAGTCCCACCTGTCACTGGGGCCGCAGCCTGACGAGGCCTCCTTGTGGGCATGGCCTTCTCCTGAGGATTCTGGGAGCTTTCGTTTTTGAAAAAAGCGTTTTATTAGGGGCTCATCCAACTCTCATAGCAATCCATACACACATCCATTGCGTAAAGCGCATTTGTACATTCATTGCCCTCATCCTTCTCAATACATTTGCTCTCCACCTAAGCCCCTGGCATCAGCTCCTCATTGAACTTCCTCTCTTTCTCCCTGAGGTGGGCCACACACTCTTTCTCTACTTTCACCCTGCGGCTGAGACCTGCCATAGCCTGTGATGTTTCCACCACCACTGGATCCACAAGACTCTGCCCCCACCGGCCAGGGATCTTCCTGCATTCTCCATCATTGCAGGAAGCTGCATGAGTCTGAAGAGGGAGTTATGGACTAGTATCGGACTTATGGGCTAATATCGTACTTATGGACTTGATCTGGACTGGGCTGGGATGTTTTCTCAATGTTTAATTGCTCTTTGATACAAAGCTATTTCTTATACATATATGAGTATCCCTGGATTTGTTTCTTGAGTCAGGCCAGCCTGACACTTCAGCACATCCTCAACTCTATCAGACACTGAGGATCACAGGAGGAAGAGCAGGTCTGTCAGGAGGAACGGCCCAGAGAGCAAAATGCCCCCTGGCTCACACACAGCTCAACAGCCGAATCTGCTTCTTCACGTGCCAGGAATGACCTGTTCTGAACACTCTGTGTTTACCAGAAAATAGAAAAACCAGGGAAATGCTGCAGGCACGGGTTTTAAAGATTAGGTGGTACACGACACAATGTGGATGAACCTTTTCCTGAGTGAAATATACCCATCCAGTGCCATTGAATCGATCCGACTCACAGTGAGCCTGGAGGGCAGAGGGCAGAGTGCTCCGCAGGGTTTCAGAGGTTGTAAATCACAGGAGCCGAGAAAACCTGGACTTTCTCCTAAAGAGAGGCTGGTAGTTTCAAACCACTGACCTAGCCGGCCAACACAGAATCCACTCCGCCACCAGGGTTCCTTAAGTGAAATGAACCAGTCGCAAAAAGATACTGTAGGATCTCACTTACATGAATAAATAAAGATCCAGAAACCAACGACTATTAGTTGTTATAGGGGAGGGTGGAGGGAGAGAAGAGGCATGGGAGTTTCTGCTTGGGAGATATTTTGTTTATGTGAATGGTGGTGGGATACTTTGGTAAAGAATAATGCGAATGGCTGCAAACTTCAATCATGGAATCCAGATCACTGAATCACACACGTGTACAGGCTGTTGACTGACTGCTCGTGGACTCCAGATCACTGAATCACACACGTGTACAGGCTGTTGAGTGACTGCACGTGGACTCCAGGTCACTGAATCTCACACGTGTACAGGCTGTTGAGTGACTGCACGTGGACTCCAGGTCACTGAATCTCACACGTGTACAGACTGTTGAGTGACTGCACGTGGACTCCAGATCACTGAATC